GTTTTGATGAAAACATGATTCACGGCGTAAGCACAAATCTCCAGTTCACTGCTTCCGTCACTTGCTCATCTATCACGTTTTGTAGTTGAGTGGTCACTATCCACTTCTTGTTTCCTTTTATAGATATATTAAACTACGACTGGGTTACACCACAATGAACCCATCATAGGTTAAAAATAACAAAATAGTATATAGACAAAGTCAACATTAAATACAGTTAATTAAAATCGTAAGAACTTAGGTGCTGCTGTAGAAAAGAAAATTGATAATGGTGGTAGATCTTTTCAGAGTAATGGCAGCTTGCCTAGAAAGAAGTGTAATGTAGCTTGTCGCCCAGCTTTCCACGGTTTGATTTATGACTTCAAACTACAGTGTTTTAACATTACAGTGGTGTAGCATACATACTCCCTCAACAGACCTTTACTAGGCTGAGAATGGCCTGTACTTCTGACATGGGGTTAGTAACCATCTCTGACATTTGGTAGGTGTTACAAGCTGGGAGACTTCAACTCCAGGTTCTTTTCAAGTAATATCTATGATGACTCTGTGCCCTTCTCCCCAGAGAGCGATGAGTGACCAGACCAAGCAAGGGAATTGTTTTATAATGATTCTTTACTAGCAACTTCAATATCCAATACATCAATGGGTTTACAATCTTAATAGGCATGGGGGATTGATAATGGCAATCACACAGGCAATTCAATATCACAATTATTAATTCTAATAAACCTAATACATAAAACCAATTCATAACCTTAATCTAACTTATCACTTATCCATAAAACACTTCTTAACCTTAATACAACTTATCTATTACTTATCTATAAAAACTTTTTCATTATCTATCTATAAAACACTTCTTAACCTTGACTTATCCATTAACATTTCCTAATCTTATCAATTATCTATATCTCTTAACATTTCACACACTAAACATATGTATTAGCGTGTCTATGCTCTTCTCTTAACATCTCATACATGCATGAAATAGTATCATATGACCTGGTATTCTTCAGCTTAAAAAGGGCTTTTTGAATTTCTTCAGGCTGGACACCTGACCGCACTGGGGCTGGATAACGAGGCTCTACTCTTGACCCCATAGTCTGCACTCAGGAAATAAGGTTCCGATGTCCTGTTCCAGGCTGATATCAGGTGCTGGATCAATCCTTCACCGCGTAGTCTCTGGCCTGGTGCTAGTCTACCTCAGAATGTAGGGCCTTGGGACTCGGTTTTTCGGGTGACCAAGTCTCAGGAGACAAGGCTTTTAGTTCTCTACTCTCGACGATGAAGATTTGCTCTCGGGATGGCAAAGCGTTCTGTCTGCTTAAAAGACGAAACTTTGCTCTCGGGATGGCAAAGCATTCTGAAAGGCAGAGTATCTTGTCTGTTCTCGGGAGACAGACCTTCAATGTCCATTCTCAGGGAATGAGGCTTTGCATTCAGGATGCAAGATGTTAAATGTCTTTTTTCGGGATATGAAGCTCTGTACTCAGGAGACAGAGCATTAGATGTTTAGGCAAGGGGTTTAATATTTCTGCTTTTCAGGAGGCAGGCTTGGAGGATCTCTCTTTCCACGAGGCCAGATGCCTGGGCCATTATGAGAAGTGAGATAACCGTCCTGCTTCAGCCCCCTCTTTTAAGTCAGTTCGAAACTGCCCTTTGCTTGATCCTTCTGATAAACAGGTGTCCTAGGTTATCAGTATCGACTGGCCACAGAAGGGTGGGGGTCCCTCTTATGTGGCAAGATTATTTCATTACCACAGTTGCTTTGTGCAGCCTCTCCATCTGGCAGGGCCAGATGGGTGTGGCAGCCTTCAAGCGGGCAAATGTTCTCTTAATATTTCACTTTAGTAATTTTCCATACCACACACAGAAATAAATGCTTTTACATTACACTAAGTTGCATTCATTCTTATTCTATAAATTTCCTGTTCTATCTACACTACAGATTCCCCTTTCTTTATTCATTCAGAGGAATCTGGTTCCATGCTCATTACAGTAGGTAACGCATTTAATAAATGACTTTTCCATCTATTGGTATTTTCAACCTACAGTGGGTTTATTAGGATGTAACCCATTAGTTGTTTAAAATATTGAAGGACCTGGATAAATCCAGACGCCCCCCAAAGCAGGAAAAAAATAGAGCCAAAAATCTAAGCAGGGAGAGAAGAATCAGAAATCTAGGATTAGCCTGTTCAGTGTTTCAGGAACTAGCTGAAGATAAAGTTAGATTGTAATCTTGAGAATAACGTTGAGGAACAGGGAGTTACCCCCCTTGTGTTCCTCACTGGTATTTTCAGAATTTTCTGTGACACCCTCCCTACCCCTTTCGGATTACTGGGCTGTGGTTTCTTCCCTTAAAAACCCCTTCTCCGGCTGGAGAGATGGCTCAGAGGTTAAGAGCACTGGCTGCTCTTCCTAAGGTCCTGAGTTCAATTCCCAGAAACCACATGATGGCTCACAGCCATCTATAATGAGATCTGGTGCCCTCTTCTGGCATGCAAGCATACATGGAAGGAATGTTGTATACATAATAAATAAATCTTTAAAAAAAAAAAAAAACCCTTCTCCCAGGTACTCAGGGTCGAACCTTCCCCTGCATGGGTTATGAGTCTCAGCCCAGTGCACTGGTTCTCGTCTTCCCGTGGATTAAACCTGTGATTGCAGCAAGGACAGACAGTCTCTCCTGAGTTACTGGGTGGGTCGTGTTATCCCGAGACTTGAGTGAGAGTCTCCCCATATCCGAGGTCTTTCAATATCTCTAAAAGGAAACAAGCAGTAACTAGTGGACGTTCAGTTGAACTTGAATAGATGGGCAGGTGACAGCAGCAATGAACTTGAGATTTGAACATACACCATGAGTCACGCTTTCACTAATACCTGGCATTTGGGCTCCATACTAAACTGGACTTTAAAAAATGAATTGTTGATGAGGTTGTCTTAGAATTGAAACTTACAAAATAATAAATCACATTATAACGTATTTTGTGTGATACCCAGGTTGAAGGCACCCTATGGCTCCTAAAGTCCCCAGTTCAGAGTCCAGAGCTGTAATTTTATCTATGTGATAGCTATGGCGCAGGTTTGTAGTGTAATTTCAGTACACTCTTCTTTTTTGGGGGGGAGGGAGGTGAAGGGTTGAGACAAGGTTTCTCTGTGTAGCCCTGGCTTTCCTGGAACTCACTCTTTAAACCAGGCTGACCTTGAGGTCAGAGAGATCCACCTGCTTGCTTCTGTTTCCTGAGTGCTGGGATCAAAGGCATGTGCCACCATCAACCAGCTAAATCAGTACTTTTAAATGTTGTTATGCTCACTATTGGCCTTTTTTATTTGGGGTTTGGCAAATGTAGGGCCCGGGTCTACCCCTGCTCCTGGGATTACTTGAGGACAGTTTCTGGTCAGCCAGCTAAAACATTCTGTTTGGTTTTGTGCTCCCTCTGCCCTGCCTGGTGCTTAGCTGTAGGGCATTGTTTACTCCATCTTGGGTGTGGCAATTTCCCACCTGTGCAGCAGCTAAGTATTTAAGGAAGTCCACGACGTTGAATAAACGGCTTTAGGCTGATCTCCATGTGAAGGACCCAGGTCGCTTGTGTGTTCTTTCAATCTCCAGGCCCTTGCCCGGCTCGCGTACGGTACAGTGGCCTGCGAACTGTACCGAGGGGGTAACACAGAATCGGGTGTTACAGGCAAAACTGCAGAGAATGGAGATTTTATTAAAATGCACTATTGCTTTTTAAATAGTTTATCCTGTTAATCTGTTCAACTTCTAGTCTTCCAAAATGTTTATTTTGATAACTATTATTATCCCAATTTCTTACATAAAGCATTGAGGTTTAAACAATTAAATATTATGCCCAAGGTGATAGACTAAACTGTATTATTGCCATCAAGTAGAGACTTGGAATTGTCTGGATTCTGAGTTGTTTATAGGAATGGCTCTCTTTTTACTAACTTGCCTTCTCAAAACCTGTCGTTCTAAAATCAGAAGCACATCGTTGTCACATAAAAAGTGGTTACTTATCGCCTTTAAGCAAAACAGAATATAAAGCTTTACCCAGCAGCTGAAAATGTAGCTCTTTTAGGGACTGTTCTGAAAGACAGGGTAATGGTGTTGCTCTCTTCTTTCCCCCCAAAGAGACAGCAAGAAAATGAATGCTTTATTGTAAAAATCAAAAGCTGGAGAGACAGCTTAGGGGGCAGAGCGCCCGACTGCTCTGACCGCTCTGACCGAGGACCCGAGTTCGATTCCCGGCCAGGCACCGCAAGTAATTCCGTGACTGTCCGTCAGCGCCCCTTGGCAGCGTGCAGAACAACCCTCACACAACTTTCCACCATCCACCGTAGATCCGCATAGGCAAAAAAAAAAAAAAAAAAAAAAAATCAGAAAAGATGGGTCTGTGGTTTGGTGGCCAGACCCTGAACTTATATTCAGTACCTGCTTTCCTGTGGTGTAGGTGATTCTGTGGCGTGTCTGTTTCTCCTGCTTTTCCTGTGTCTGCTGTTATTTACAGCCGTGGCCATCACAATCGTGTTCTCTTTCCCTTCCTCCAACGCTGCATTAAATCCCAAGTAGCTCCTTGACTGTGGAATCTGTCTTCAAAGTAAGCGAGCTGTGGGTGACCTGACTTGCCTTGGAAGGGAAAGACCGGTAGGAAGTCGGGGTGCTGCTCAGAAGTTTTGTTATCTCGCTGCAGAAGTTGAATACAGCATCAGAATTCTCCCTTCTGATGAACTTAGAAGGCGTGTGTGTGTGTGTGTGTGTGTGTGTGTGTGTGTTGACTATTTGGATCAATGACACTAAGTTACAATTGTTCATTCTTATGAAGGTTGTACCTAATAATCTGGGCAAGTGTTTCCAAAATGTCTGCTGTCTGTATTGCAACTCTCGCAGCCAGTAGCTGCTGACAGTGATTTAATGCAGGTGAACACTAGCACCGACAATCATTATAGCCTGGAAAGTGTACCAAAGTTCACTGTTTTTTTTCTGTTTTTCTCTTCAGTCTAAGGGCCGGTGTATCCAATGATACTTGAAAATCGCTTTCATCGTATTATGATTAAAGAAACAGTTTAAAGGAGAGGTGAGCCCTGAGGCAGGCCGGTGCTCTTTAACCTGTGAGAGGTGGGTTTTTTTTTTGCTAAGGATTTACATTAGCTGTGAGACAGCAATGGTTTCATCCGAAAGAAACTGCCATGCTTCACCTGTGCCCCACCTCCAGCCCATCTTGCCAAGTGATAGCGCAGATGTGGCTCGTTTTAAGAATACTAGGAAGGAGTAAAAGGGACTAGAGCGAAGGCAGGAACACTCAACCATGCTTCCAGTGCCTTCTGGTTGTTCCTAGTCTTTTCTCCCTAGTGCCCCGGTGCCTCTCCTACCTGAAGGTGTGATGCCATCACCTCTAGCCCTGTATCGCTACGCCCATGGCAAGCTGTCACCCTCGGTGGACTCGCGGCCCTGCAGCAGTCCCTTGGTGGTTCCCAGGAAGGCAGGGAAACTGTTACTGGGGGCCACTTCTCCTCGGGCCCCGCGGCTGCCACGCGGGCAGGCCTGGTGCTCCATCGACTGGGAACAGGTATGCCTACTGTACAAGCTGGGTTCCGGAGGGTTTGGGTCGGTGTACAAAGCCACTTACCGAGGTGTTCCCGTGGCCATAAAGCAAGTGAACAAGTGCACCAAGAACCTACATGCATCCCAGCAGAGTTTCTGGGCTGAACTCAACATTGCAAGGCTGCGCCACGACAACATAGTCGGGGTTGTGGCTGCCAGCACGCGCACGCCCAAAGACTCCAACAGCCTGGGTACCATAATCATGGAGTTTGGGGGTAATGTCACTCTACACCAAGTCATCTACGGTGCCACCAGCTCTCCAGGACCCCTAAGCTGCAGCAGAGAACCACTGAGTTTGGGGAAGTGCCTTCAGTATTCCCTAGATATTGTTCGCGGCCTGCTTTTTCTCCACTCACAAAGCATTTTGCACTTGGACCTGAAACCAGCGAACATTTTGATCAGTGAGCAGGACATCTGTAAGATTAGCGACTTTGGCTGCTCCCAGAAGTTGCAAGATCTGTGCTGCAGTCAGACGCGCCCTCACCACATAGGAGGCACCTACACGCACCAAGCTCCCGAGCTCCTGAAAGGAGAGAGCGCCACGCCCAAAGCCGACATCTACTCTTTCGGTATCACCCTCTGGCAGATGGCCACCAGGGAAGTGCCTTACTCAGGCGAGCGTCTGCAGGTGCTGTACGCGGTGGTGGCCTACAATCTGCGCCCGTCGCTGGCGGGAGCGGTGTTCACTACCTCCCCGGTGGGGCAGACGCTGCAGAGCATCCTCTGTAGCTGCTGGGAGGCCCGCGCCCTGCAGAGGCCCGGTGCAGAACTGCTGCTGAGAGACCTGAACGCCTTCCGAGAGGCACTGGGCTGACTCCATCCAGCCTGGGCTGAGAGAAGCTTTTTATTTCTGCTTATTTTTAAAGAAGCAAGGATGGTGTGGTCCCCTGGGGCATAGTTTTGGAAAATAAAGTTACTGAGAACTGCAACCTGAAATGCTTTTCCTGAGACTAACGAGGCTACAGGTCTCGTGGACATCGCCGCTGGTAACCAACCTGACCTCCTTTATGGTTCTGTGTCCCCTTTCTGGGCTTCTGGCCTACTGTATCATTTCTGTAATATTACTGTCAGTACGAGTTGTTCCTAAATGAAAGAAAGAGGAAGAGAGAGAGAGAGAGAGAGAGAGAGAGAGAGAGAGAGAGAGAGAGAGAGAGAGA